TGGGTCATAACTTATAGTTTAAAAAAACATTAATTTAGATGATAGTCAGCTTTTTTTTTATGAAGATGCCATCCCGCAACTATATTATGCCATGACTAGGGACATACCCTATCTTATCAGTCTTAGAAAGAAAAAAAAATGTGATCAGTCTTAAAAGGAACTAGGAGACTTTGGGGATTAGTAATGTTACCACCAAAAAGGAACCTTCCTTTAAAAAAACCTCCCTTGTGGATAGTAGATAAATAATTGCAATTTTAATTTTCATCAAATATGTTAACAAGAAAGCAAGCCAGTCTGGTTGCTTTAATTCATGTCCCTTACTTCTCTCCTAACCAACCTCCCAAACCCCATTCTTCAACAGCTCTTAAGTAATGGATTCTGTTGTAATAAACTCAAGAGAATCATGACGTAGGAAAAATAATAAGACAATGGGAATTTTAAACAATACTACAGACCTATGATCACCCTAATTAATATATACTTAATCCATGTCTTTACGCACATACAAAGAGCTAAACCAGCCATTAAGTCATAATTTAGCTATGTGAGTACTAGATTCATATAATCACTTGTACAATGATATTTAGTATTTCAGTGAAAAAGATGCTTATGTTTTATTATACACACTCAGTGGTATAATATACAATCCCTCAAATTTGGTAAGAATAAAGAAAAACACATAACAGGATTATAGGAATAACTGTAACAGGAATAGTTCTGAGTAACTATTATCCGATTGGTCTTCAATATATATAAAGCCTGAAAATATTTTACAGCCAAGAAATTTGTTTCTATTGCCATAATTCATATACTTATAAATAACACTACTGCAATTTTCTTTCCTGCTCTTCTTCTCTCTCTTTTTTTTGTAAAGAAAGGAAAAGCTCATAACACTGCTGTGAAGTCACAATAACTGAAGCCAAAAAATTAGGACAGGTTAAAAAAAAAACAACCAAAAAACAAAACCTGAGATTGTTTAGAAATGAAGGAAAAAGCCCCTAGCTATTTAAAACATTCCAATGGAAAAAAAAGAAAAAAGAAAAAAGAAAAAAAGGCCTTGCCTGTTTTAATTGTGGAATATTAAAAGCAACAGATATATTCTAAGATTTTGTTTTTATGTAGGCACATAAAAACACTGCTTAGAAGCAAAGTATTTTGAATGGAGAGAGAAAGGAAACTGGTTCTAGCAAAGAGAAAGATGTTGTAACATAGTGATTAATATCACCAATGGAAAAAAACATTACTGATGACCACAAAAAAGATTGCTAACACTATAGCTTTCAGGATTGATGCCATTTTAGAAGAGACCTAGGAGACTTCAGTGATTAGTAATGCTATCATCAAAAGAGAGCCTTCCTTTAAAACACTTCCCTTTCCTTCCATGGTCTTCAAATATTAAATCTACTGCGGCACTTGTGTGGCTCAGTCAGTTAAGCATCCGACTCTTTGTTTAGACTCAGCTGGTGATTCATGGGTCCTGAAATCAAGCCCTGTGCCAGGCTCTGCACTCATTGTGGTGGTGGGGGGGGGGGGTTGTTTCTGCCTGCAGATTCTCCCCCTCTCTCCCGGCACATGCACTCTCTCTCCCCCCTCTCTAAAATAAATGATTTTTTTAAATGTAAAAAAAATTATTTTATTACTATAAATGCTTATATCTTATTAGCCAAAAATATGTAATAAAACATAAAAAGTAATAAAATGACTTATATCAGGTTTTGTGAAATACTGACAATAGGTTCTGACTCCTTACAGGTGGAACCCAAGAGGGCTGGGAATCAATATGTCCATTTTACAAGCAAGGACATGGAGGTCTAGAAAAGTTAAATGGTAAACTTCTAAAAAAAAAGTAAGGTTCAAAACTCCAAAATATAACTGGTAGGTAAAAGAACTGATATGAAAATTAGTATCTATATTTTAGTAGTATTCATTCTGTTTTGTTTAGCCTGCATAGCATTTTGTTTGGGGTATTTAGAAGTTTCAATCAAGACTATATCTCATTTAAAAGTGACCATTTTTAGCTGACCGTTGAATAATTTGTGAGATATCTCCACAAGTGGGTGGAAGTATGTTTATAAGATGAACTCACCCCTGTATTATTTATAGTTTTTCTGTGCCCTCGTGTCTGAGAATTGCAGTCTATAAGACAATCTGCCATGGAGAAGGTGGCTAAATAAGGGGAAAAATGATATTGTCTAGGACAAGTGCCAAATTCTGTTTCTGTCAATCATGTCTTCATATTACCTATGATTTCCTGACCTGGCAAAAAGTTAGTCTGAAGATTATCAATTTGTACCTACTCTGTGGTGACATCAAGAGACAAGCCCAACTGGCCCTGTCAATACTAACAGGAAAAAGTCATTTATAATCTTAGCTCCCAAATTTTTAATAGTAGAAACCCTAAGATTATTTTTGAAAAACCATAAAATCTAAGATACCATTTTTCAGACTGGGGTTGTAACCCAATATGGGGTAATAAAAGCAATTGTGTGGATCATAAATCAGCATTTTATAAGTCAAATAGAAATAAATATAGAAAACAGAATATATTACACATGGTAAGGATATTATTCCATGAAAAAATTTTAATTGTTTAAATATATTGCATATACACACACATATAGATGCATACAAACATACAAAAAACACACATATCTGATTAGGTGTAATGGGTCACAATTCATATATAGTTTTTGTTATAACTCAACATATTAAAAATATCTATGTATTGTTAAGAATAAATATTTCTTCTGCTTTGTATACCAAGAAGCATTATGTACTCTTTCTGAACTAAATTATCCAGAGTTGGGCTCAGAGATCCTTCCCTAAAAAACCATAGCAAAAGAAAAATGCTAATTAACTTGACCTTTTACATTTTGCATTTACAGCCTTAGGTCATATACTATAGGCCTTTCTCAGTCTAAACACTCTTTCCCCTGCACATGCCTTCCTCTTTTAGCTTCCTCTTCTCATTCTTCATGGCTGCCCTCTTCTTCTCCATCTACACTGCTGGTTCCTCTCCTCCTCCTACCTCCTATCCAGAAATTATCTTTGTTCTTGCACAATGCAATTTCTCTGTACATTTTTCCCTTGCTAAAAATCTATCCATTGCAGTTTCAAATAATATTTCTATTTTGTCTCTGCATTCTAGGTGCTTACAAAGTAGTGTAAAGGACATGCATATATACCATGTCCTTTCACAGCTCTATGCCTCTGCATAAATTGCTCTCTTTGCCTAGGAAGTCCAGTCATAAGCGAAAGATGAGAAGGACACAGAATTAAGGTATTTGCTTCCTTTCTTGTTCTTTTTTGCTAGAAGGGAGTGACTTGCTAAGGAGACTATACCAGTAAAGAGAGAGGTCAATGATGCATTTATTTACTAATTCTTAGAAGAAATAATTACTGGAGCAAGGTCTTGAGGAGCTAAAATTCGGTCAGCAGTTGTAGAGATTTGCCAGAGACTAAGAAGGGTATCTTTTCTAAAAAGACTGGAGGAAAAAAAGTTAAGGGTAAGCCTGTCAACAAGTACTTAGGGGAGGAGTGGCATAGATCTGCATACATATTATACACCAACAGGAGCTGAAGTTCTTTAGTTTTTTAAAAAAAATTTTTTTGAAGACTTATTTATTTATTTTAGAGAGAAAGTATGTGTGTGCAGGGGGAGAGGGAGAAAGAAACTCAAGCAGACTTTGTGCTGAGTTCAGAGTCTGACGCAGGGCTCGATCCCATGACCCTGAGATCAGGACCTGAGCCAAAACCAAGAGTTGCATGCTTAACCAACTGCACCACAAGTGCCCCTGAAGTCCTTTCTATTTGTCTGTAAAGAAGGAGGTATAATGAGCATGATGGAGAAATTGGTGGGGGGTCAGAGAATTCAAGAGAATGGTGTTGGGTTTAGAAAAACACTTTGGAGGGGAACCTGGGTAGCTCAGTTCGTTGAGCCTCTGACTCTTGATCTCAGCTCTGGTCTTGATCTCAGGGTTGTGGGTTCATGAGTTTGGGCCCTGTGTTGGGCCCCACGCTGGGTGTGAAGCCTACTTAAAAAGCAAATAAAATAAAACGAACCCACTTTGGAGCATGGAAAAGGGCACTGATTAGGACCCATGGGAAGCTTTGAGGACATAGTTAAGAATCTAATGGTGAATTTATACTGGTTCAAATTTGTTCTGCTGTGATTTTTTTTCACCTAGCTATCCTAAGCAGCATGTGGGTAGGCATAAAGAAGGTAAAAGGCTGGGCTGGTCTGCAGTTGGGAGTTTCACTGGGCAGAAGCATTACAAGGCAATGAGGGTGAGGAGATCAAAAAGCACAAGGGACAAAGTGGTTAAGATAACTGATGAGGAGGGAAATAATTCTGGTGGGGGGGCCTTGACAACTGGAATAGATGAAGGAGTCAAGAAACCTGAGCTTTGTAGGATGAAACAAAGATACTAAAGGAGTAGGATAATATATATATATATATATGACAGAATATATATAAATATATATATATATATGACAGAATTTTAAAGGGCCAGATATAAATAAATGGAAGTTCTAGTATTTTCTTCTCAACTCCAATAGCATCTTGTAGATGTCACTCTGGAGACAATACTCTAGAGAGACAGAAAGGCATATTCCATACAATGGATAGGCAAAGTAATGTAATTAATAAGCAGGAACTGTCTAATTTAGCTCTGAAATAATAAAATCAAATTTCTGACTCTTCTGAAGCTTCACACTGGGCTTCAGTGAAGCTCTATCAAAGTACTGGTTCACACTGAGGTTCCCAAATCCTTGCAACTGCAAAAGAAACTAGGCAATGACTGTATTAGGCTTAAATATTGAGGTACTAGATGCGTTCCTACCCCAGCTAAAGAAAATATCCCTAAGTACAATATAGGAGGAAAAACAAGCCCCAATTTAAAAATGACAATCAGAAGGTTAAATACTGATATGGCAGAATTTTTTTTTCCTCAGCAGCAGAAATTGTTCCCTGCATGTTGTACCAAAAAACTACTCACCTGAATAAAATGTGTTGATTTTGGCAAGTTCCTTTTCACAGGTTTGGAAAAATTTTTCTTCAAACTTGGCAAAATACCTCTTTACCGTGTCCTCATCTGTAACTGAAAGCAAGGAAAACAGTATTTAAATATGATGTCCAAAGGCCAATTAAGAAAACTAGGGAAATAAAGTTGAAAGGTACTATTTCCTTATTCTTCAAAATGACAACAATGACCTGTGAACCATATTAAGCAAAGACTAATGAAAGGGCTCTTCATAGCAACACAGTCATTTTTTAACTGAATGAGACTCTCTAAGTCTCTACTATAATAAAGTTATAGTGGTGAAAAAAATAAATATTCTAAAACTTCAGGAGAAGAAGACACTACTATAGACAGATGTGATCAAAAGATTCAAGGTGTTGGGTGTTGAATTGAGTAGGATTTTGCAAGAGTAAATATTTCAGGGAATAAAAAAAGGAACAGATAATGAAGACATAAATATATATGTTCTTGGAAAAAAATGAATTGTTTCTACTATATTAAACAAATTGTTACTCACTTTCACTTAGCTGCACCAGATACAGAAAAAAAATGTAGACTAATGATTATAAATTATGTATTTTAAGCCTACAGTTGCTGAGTAGGAACACAAGTGAGTTGAGCAAATGGGGGATTGTACAAGTATGGTGATGAATGGCAACTGACACGTTCAGGTTAAGGAGTGGTATAGATTCTGGCAAGTGAGAGCACATGTCCATCTAGTTAGTTGCTGCCCTGTGGTGACAGGTTAAAGTTGTCACATCTTCCAATTTGCAGGACAAGCCACAAATCTAGATATTTTAAAAACACAGTGTAGTCCAATCAATATATGCCTCTGCAGGCTGGATCCACTTTGTGAGTTCTGTTACATAGCTGTCAATTTACTGAATACCCTAAGTACAGATAGATGTGGCTTTAGGAACCCCCAAGCCTAAAAGGGTATGCTTCTCTTCCAAGTGAGATCTGCCTAGACTCCAGATGCCAATCATAATTTAGAACTATCTTATTTCTGGATCTCTGGGGGCAATCTAAGCTTCAAATGTGTAGAAAAAGTATAGGTCCTTTTATGTTCCCCAGCTGTTTCAAATCTTAGTGCTATCCCCAAAACCCTTAAACAATTCATCTATCGAGAAATAAGAGAAACAGAATTTCCCTGAGTAATATGCAACACACACATGTACATACTAATTCTTTGTACCAGAGATACTTTAAGAAAAAACTTAAAATGAAGTTCTAAAAAGCATGTCAAATCTATTCATCTAATTTGAATAACACAAATGTAAAGAAAAATTATCACTATACAAATCCTTGACTTATTTATACATCTACTTCTCTATTACTTATGCTTTAGAACTTAACACACAATGCAGGATTCTACTGATTTTACAGTACAGAAAGGGTGACCACTTTAAGTTCCTCATGTAAGCTCCATAATTTAGGTACACTAAAGGCTATAGCTACCCAAGGCGACTATGAATTATTTTTAGAAACCATAAAGCAAGTCAAAGCTTCCTTTTAAGGTGACCCTGAATTAGAGATGATCCATAGTAACAGACACTGCTCTTAATAGCATTTAGCTATAGCTGATTTAATGTCAGAGTGATATCTCATTTTACTTTTAACCCATTTTTTTTCATTTTTATTTTATTCTTTATTGTATTGTTAGGAAAGAAAACCCAAAAGCAAAATATAGGCTTGGTCATATTTACTTTGTTTCTCTATTAAAGGAAAAAAGTTTTTCACTAAAGCAATCTAAATATAGCTGCTATTTTAAAAATAATTTTAACATATTAATATTTATATAGAGGTCACATATTAAACAACATCAACTATTTAAAATATTACTAAGAGGGATGTCTGGGTGGCCCAGTTGGTTAAGCATCTACCTTTGGCTCAGGTCATGATCTCCCTTTCCCTCTGACCCACCCACCCCACTTGTGCTCATATGCTCTCTCTACCTCAAATAAATAAACAAAATCTTCAAAATAAAGTAAAATATTACTAAGAGCTAGAAACAAACAAACAAAAAATCTAAATAAGCCTCTCAGAAATGAAAACATATAATAAATTTTATGTATTTTTTAAAAACATTTTATTTATTTATTTTTTGGAGAGACATAGCGAGAGAGGGAACACAAATAGGGAGAGTGGAAGAAGGAGAAGCAGGTTCCCCACTCAGCGGGGAGCCTGACATGGTGCTCAATCCCAGGACCCTGGGATCATGACCTGAGCCAAAGGCAGATGCTTAACGACTAAGCTACCCAGGTGCCCCAATTTTATGTATTTTTTAAAGCATGAACATTCTACTCATGTTTTACCTAAAATACCAGTAGTCTTTTATGTAGATTTCTGGTTCACATATAACTTAATAGCCACAAATCAGAAGAGAGTAGAATAAGATTAAAGCAACACTAAAAAGTAATGGCAAAAAGAGAGAAAAGAGGAAAGAAGTGTATATGAAAATAAATCTGCATATACAGGTACCCCCCATTTTTGAAAGTTCAAGTTATACTACTTTGCTTTTACAGAAGGCATAATATGAGTACTGGTTTTTGCTAACTGAAAAGAAATCTGTAGAGGATTTCTGTTTAAAAAAAAAAAAAAGTTTACAGCATTTGTTTTGTAGCAAGCCATTACAAAGGCAGCAAGCACCCTGGGTAGTGAGAGTGGCACCACCAAGCTCCTTCCCTGGGAACTGCACTCAGCATCTCACGAACAAGCCATCACAATTTTGAACTATGTCTGTGAGCATCTGTGCTTTATCTCATTTATTTTGTGCATCTGTTAGCAAAGTATGTCGTAAGAAGAGCCTAAGAAAGGATATTTTTTGGTTCTGGGAGCACTAAAAAATGTTTCTATATAAATTAATGGTAACTGCGTCTTCACATCATTTTGGCTTACAGAAGGTTTCACAGGAAGTCTACTTTGGGAGAAATGGGTTCATAGGCATTTAAGAATAAGATAAAGCATGCTTCAAATCAATGAGAAAATAATGGACCATATTAAAAACAGGGTTGACCCATTCATTTAAATAAACTTCAAATGGAATTAAAGAAACAATGTTATAAAATATTAGAAAAAAATTAAACAACTCTAATGGGGAAAGTTTTCCTAACACTGCACAAAACAGGCCGTAAAGGGAATGACTGACATTCTCACAAAATGAAAAATCTCCATTCCACAAGATACCATAAACAAACTTGAAAGACAAGCAACAGACAGGGAAAACATATCTGCAACATTTAAAATAAAGGATTCACATGCAAAATAGCCTTCAAAACTTTCTTACAAATCAGTATTAAAGAGATATTCCACAAGAAAAATGGGTAAATTAGAGCAATTCATAGAAAAATACAAATGGCCAACAAACAAAGAAAGGATCCTTAACATTCCAGATATCAGTTATATGTGGTTTCAAAATAATGAAATATAATTTTTAAACCATCAGATTGAAATAAATTTTAAAATATTATTTCAGCAATGGTAAAGGTAAATGAACTTTCACCCCTCACTGGTGGGAATGTAAATGTGTAAAGCCATTTAGGAAGGCAATCAGAGAGTAATCATCAAAATGTTCAGTGTAATCGGACAACCAAAAGAAATTAAAGGCATCCAAATCGGCAAAGAAGAAGTCAAACTATCACTCTTTGCAGATGATATGATACTATATGTGGAAAACCCAAAAGACTCCACTCCAAATCTGCTAGTACTTGTACAGGAATTCAGTAAAGTGTCAGGATATAAAATCAATGCACAGAAATCAGTTGCATTTCTTTACACCAACAATAAGACAGAAGAAAGAGAAATTAAGGAGTCAATCCCATTTACAATTGCACCCCAAACCATAAGATATCTAGTTATAAACCTAACCAAAGAGGCAAAGAATCTATACTCAGAAAACTACAAAGTACTCATAAAAGAAACTGAGGAAGACACAAAGAAATGTAAGTAAGACACAAAGAAAAGTAAGTCAATCCATGCTCATGGATTGGAAGAACAAATATCGTGAAAATGTCTATGCTCCCTAACAAAATACCATCCATTTTTTTTTTTCAAAGAAATGGAACAAATAATCCTAAAATTTATATGGAACCAGAAAAGACCTCGAATAGCCAGAGGAATATTGAAAAAGAAAGCCAAAGTTGGTGGCATCACAATTCCAGACTTCAAGCTCTATTACAAAGCTGTCATCATCAAGACTGTATGGTACTGGCACAAAACAGACACATAGATCAATGGAACAGAATAGAGAGCCCAGAAATAGACCCTCAACTCTATGGTCAACTAATCTTCAACAAAGCATGTCCGATGAAAAAAAGACAGCCTCTTCAACAAATAGCATTGGGAAAATTGGACAGCCGCATGCAGAAAAATGAAACTGGACCATTTCCTTACACCACACATGAAAATAGACTCAAAATGGATGAATGACCTCAATGTGAGAAAGGAATCCCTCAAAATCCTTGAGGAGAACACAGGCAGCAACCTCTTTGACCTCAGCCGCAGCAACTTCTTCCTAGGAACGTCACCAAAGGCAAGGGAAGCAAGGGCAAACATGAACTATTGGGACTTCATCAAGATCAAAAGCTTCTGCACAGCAAAGGAAACAGTTAACAAAACCAAAAGACAACTGACAGAATGGGAGAAGATATTTGCAAACGACATATCAGATAAAGGGCTAGTATTCAAAATCTATAACAAGCTTTTCAAACCAGAGGCCAGAAGGGCCTCTGCAAGCCTGAAAAGAGGGGCCTTACCAGAAAAGCCTGCATCTGACCTTGCATTTCAGTCCTCCAGAACTGTGAAAACAAAAAGTCCTAATGATTAAGACAAACATCTATGGTATTCTGTAATGGGAGCCCACATTCACTAATACAATGAATTTAACATGTTCTGAATTCAATAATAAGTCTCAAAGACTAAGCCTACTTTTAAAAAAGGTAGCATATATAACTGCAAATCTTAGCAAGATGTATCAACAATTATAAGATTAGCATCAGCAGGAAAAAAAAAAAAAGGCAGACAAAGGGGTGAAAAAAAATTCACCAGAATTGGTGAAGAAATGACTCAGAGAACACTTC